AAAATGTCCAGCGAATACTTGTTGTAGTATTGCTCAGATAATAGGACGTATCTTAATGATTGAGTTAAAACTTTTATTTATACCTCACTGATTGGGTTGAAATTTAATTAGTTGAGATTGTCGGGATCAAACCTTATTTGAAGGTAATTTGGCCTCAGTGATAGTAGTCTTAAATATAGGTAAAAAAATTATAGGCCCATTGGGTTGGCCTAACTACGTATGTCAATATAGTTTTGAGAAGGTGATTGAAAAAATGCCAGCAAAGCTTTTAAATTCTTTAACAAATTGCTGAAAAAAGTTGGATGTCTGACTTGAATTTTTCAACTATCACAAGGGCCCATCATCCACCTGAGCTCTGGCCTTCTCAAAAATCTCATGATTGTTCAAGTAAGCCTTGGCGAATGTGTCAATGATTCAGCGCTCGGTGTTCTCATATTATTTGTAGCGGCCATCGATAATCATGTTGCTAATTTTAATTATTTATTTGGGTGTTGTTGACTCGTGTGAGATACCGTCCGAGTTCAATAACGGAGCCGGCAACAATGGAAGACTCCGGGGAAGGTGGTTGGTTGTTTGCTCAAATATTGTGAAGCCGAAAGATAAAATATGAATCGGGGGTGGGGGGGTTGGGCACATGAGCAAGTTAAATTTTGCTCCATTGAAATGGCATAGAGAATGGCTATCATATTTCTACAGTTGAGGAGTATAAAACTGGTAGTACATAACGCAAGGAAGGGGCGAATTGACCATGTGAAATTCCACAAAAGTACTAAGGGCTATTTTACCAATTACCAAAAACATTTGTATTTATTATCCTTATTGTGGTTCTTCCCTTTTTTTCTATTTTTTTTTTTTTTTTTTTGTTATTATTAACCTAGAAACTCTTATTTTTTTGTTAGAGCAACTTCAGCAGATGTGGTAAATGCTAAATTTTAGCAAACTTTACAACTTTTCTAGAAAATGAGAGTTCTAGCTGCTGTGGTATACTATACACCACCTGGTATATTATAAATTTGTCTTGTCAATATGTAACACCAAGAAAATGAAATGGCGGGGCAGTTTTTTTTTTTTTTTTGGTGTAGTTTTAGGATGCAGTTTTTAAAATAGGGCTGTTTTGGGAGGAGTAACGAAATTGGAGTTGACCGCCACCCACCACGGCGGCACCGGCAGGAGGCGCCACCGCCGGTGGCGGCACCAAGTGAAGATGCCAGCTTCAACGGCGGCAAGGCTGGAGACGCCGCCATCGGTGGCGTCTTCTCCCAATTTTTTTAATTATTAATATTTTCATATTTTAATATTTTAATACTTTAATATTTTAATATTTTCTATTTTTTAATATTTTAATATTTTATTATTTTAATATTTTCTGATTTTTAATTTTTTTTTTACAAATAAAACAATTCTAACTAAATTCATTACATTTTATATATTTTATCAATTAATGTTAAATTAATCATTGCATATATTTATCTAATCAACACAATAAAATAGTGTACAATCTTAAAAACATGTAGACAAAAACAGAAGGAATTCTAGAAAATAAAAGAGTTATATAAAATAAATAGGTCCAATAAAAGAGATATATAAAATAAATAGGTCCAAAATGTGTACAAAGACAAAATGAGTACAAAAAAATAAAATTGGCACTATGAAGTCAGTACCTATGTGAACCAGTGCCACATGCAGGTGCCCGTCTAGTCCTACGCAGCCTACCATGTCGACGAATGTCAGGATCTGCCGGTACATCATCAACAAACTGGGTGTCATCCGGTGGATATGGAACATGGGAAACATTATACTATGGTCGAATCCGCTCTTGGGGACTTGAGTATCCCAAATTGAGCTCCAAATGTGGACCCCATGAAGAGAACCGGGTATCAATAGCAGGAGGATATGGGGTAGCTAGAGAATCGAACCATGGCATATCTGGAACGTAATCATTCGTAGATGGACCAACTAAATCTGTAAATGTGGGTACCTGAGATGTAGACGCACCGAACATATCCATAAATCCTTGTGTAGTAGATAAATCGTCCATACCTCCATGCACAGAAACATCTGCATAAAAGGGTGTATGAGAAGCAAATGGACCGGCAACATCTCCAGATGGAGGTACCCGAGATGTAGATGCATAATAGTTCCCATCTCTCGTCTGTCTCACGTCATGCTCCAATTCAGTAGCTCTTTCGGCAGCGCTGGACCTTCTTCTTGTACGTCTATCTCGATGCAGAGAAGGTATAGGAGGTATGGCAGGTATCGGAGGTAAGCTGGACGAAGCACCATCTCTACGTAGAAGTTGAGTCCCAGCTGCATACATCCGTGTAGCGTTGTCCTGATACAGATCATATATCCGATCGTCATCTCGAGAAACTACCCTAGCAGCAAGACTCATGGATATAAGCTGATTACCCAGAAATAAAAGGCATTACAAGTTTAAGAACTTAAAAAACTGAAAAAACAAATTGAAAAACATCGAAAGTAATGGTTGTTTTGAGAAAAATACTAACCACAAGATCCAGTAAAATCGGGTCTCCGACCTGAAAACCGATATCATCAAGATTGTCAATCGGTGATATCAAATGACGTGTGTGCCTCTCATACCACTCGTAGCATCCTGGATCTGTCTGAGGCCCACTAAACTCAATAAATGGATAGTCAATGGGAGAATCAAGTCGGCCATACCATCTATCAACATAGATACGGTGAAAACGAGCCCAATCTCTACCCCCTGCACCTCGACGATCATAAGAATGCAACTTAATCTCAATATCGTGATCAATAGGATGTGGTGGTATATGTAGTACCCTCCCAAAATGACGTAGCACCCTATATGGACGATGCATCTCAACTCTCTCGTAAAATATAAGGGGACAACTCGACAACCAAAGCTGTGGATGCACTATCTCAGGATACTCAAGTAAAGCGCCAAACTCAGGATCTAGTTCACTATAAGGCATCCATGTAAACTCGAATTTTTTTTTTTTAATATATTGTTAAATAGACCACAAACATTAACATAATTGCTGTTAACTTATAAATAACCTGATCCCAGAGCATCCGATCGAGCGTCGTACGATAAACACGTATATTGTTTCGCGAGGACCGAGTCTGACTAGTAGGTCTGATCCAACTGTAATATCATATGAAAATTTGCTAAGTCAATATATTAACCTTCATATAAATAAATTATTAGTACTAAGATGTTTACCGTGCACCGTAAAGAGGGTGGAGATATGCAAGCCGACAGGGATCATCTTCTACTACTGGTACTATTGCTGGAGCGAGTAAAGGTATCCTCGACCATGCCCAACACTAATTATTAAACATAAAAAATATCAAAAACCGCAAGTATAATAAACTATTAATTTAAATTTTAAAAGTATCAAAAATCATATTACCTGTAACAAAGTAAGCGCACCACCTAGATTAGTTTTCCTCTTATCCAACTCAACAGTGCCGTCTTGTTCCACAATTTTCCTAAGTAAAGCCCCAGTACATAGCTCACGATACAAATATCCAAGAACTGTACTACCCCAACTGAAAGTACGCACTGCCTCAAGATCTTCGAAATGACGAAGATACAACAACGAGATTGTACTTGAAGATGTGTCAGGACACATAACCCCCCCCAAGTAGCAATAACAGTAAACACCTGGTATGCTGCTGAACATGCTGCTCCGTGCTATCATCAGTAATCGTGCAATGTCGTAAATACATGGCCATATCAGTTGCGAAGAGCCATCTCTCTTTGAAAGCTTGATCTGAAGGAGTATATCCCAACCACGTCTGACAATAATCTTGCCACTGCTCCTTCGACCATGAAATATCCTGTCCAGTAACAGGTATTCCATCAGGCAAACCCCATAATAATGCGACATCCTCAAGTGTCACTGTCGCCTCCCCTGCTCGAAAATGAAATGTGTGTGTCTCCGGGCGCCATCTCTCCACTAAAGCTGCAATAAGATGCAAATCGACTACGAGACGACCACATCGATATACTCCATAGAACCTAGTATCAATTAAGTACTGCATCACTCTAGGGTGTGGATCATCATCACCATCATCTCCATATAAACCCCGATCCAACCATCACAGCGTCTCCCGCGCACAATATCATCTACATTTGCCGATGTAATCGATCTGGATACGTGCTCTGACTGGCGGTATAGCAATGAAGTGTCCCGCGGACCATAAACATAACTGACATCCATCTTGTATAATAATATACATAGAAAACTCAGATAATAAGTACAAGTGCAATAATAAATACACACTAATAAATAGAACACTCAGATAATAAGCAGAAGTGTAATAACAAATACACAATAATACATAGATAGACTCAGATAATAAGTACAAGTGCAATAACAAATACAAAGTCAAACACGATAATTAGACACTACTTAGTCCGACGTGAAAACACGATAATACATAGATAAACTCAGATAATAAGTACAAAGTGTAATAACAAATACAAAGTCAAACACGATAATTAGACACTACGTAGTCCGACGTGAAAACTAGAAAATAACAATATAAATAATACAAACTACAATGAACTACATAAATTATACTATCAGAGCCGTCTTGCTTGTTCCTCTCTTCTAGATTGTTGTCTTGCCCGTGTTTGTGGCACATCCATCTCATTTTGAATTCGACTGCATCTTCGATCCCCTAGTAGTGTTGGATCATGAATTAGTTCAAAAGCAACATCCTCCCAATAATGTTCACTCAACAGGGGTTGGAATATCCCAGAATAAGTGTTCACTAATCGATCAATATTGTAGCAATCTTTCACATATACGGAGGCAGACAATATCCATTCACGGCACACGTGGAGGACATGACTGCAGGGGATTCCTGTCAGCTTCCATTTTCCACAAGTACAAGTTTGGTCCCTTAAACTCACGGTGTGTTTGTTATTTCCACCTCCACTTGGACGAGCTCTAGTCATCACCTCGGCAGAGAGCTGTTGTTGATTAAAATGAGTCGTGAAACATCTAACAGACTTTAGCTTCATGTGTCCGGTAAATGCCATAAGCATATGTGGACCACAACTGTCCATTTTGAACCATCACATTGGCCTCGTGGAGACGATTAAAAAAATACCTAACAATGCGGTTGAATGTAAGGTCAACAATTGTTGAGATGGGAAGTTTTCGAGTTCCCTTGAGAACACCATTATGAGCTTCTGACATGTTTGTAGTAAGTTGACCACAACGCTTGCCCCCATCATGTGCAAATGCCCATTTTTCTTGATCAATATCCTTCAAATAGTTGTAAGCTTCAACACTCCGAGTTTTGATCACATTAAGAATGTGGTTAAACTTCCAAATTTGAGACTCCGCTCCTGCCTTGTAGCATAGATCCTTCAAAACACTCTTAAAACGTTTGTTGAAATTGGAGCACACGTGTCTCAAGCAAAACCTGTGAAAAACATTAAGGGGAGCAAATTCGGGCAACTCCGCTAAAGCTCGTAAAATTCCCGGAGCTCGATCTGAAATTACACAAACGCTTTCTCCATCTGGAATTTGAGAAATTAGATGTTTGTGTAGCATTTGAAAAAACCACCTCCAAGCCGCCGTGGTCTCATTGTCAACAAGAGCAAATGCTAGTGGTAGCACTTGGTTATTGGCGTCCAAACAAACGACAATTAGTAACTTGTGCTTGTACTTAGTGTAGAGATGAGTTCCATCCACACTAATAACTTTTCGACAGAACTTGAATCCATCCAAGCATGGCTTGAAGGCCCAAAAGAAGTACTTGATCATCTTCCGTGTTGGAATGTCCGTTGGTTTGAAAATCCACTCAATTGCCGTACCCGGGTTCGTTCTATGGAGTGCCTTCATAAACTTGGGCAATTTGTTCACTGAGAACTCCCAACTCCCGAACAAGTTATCTCTGCAACGCTTAAAACCATACCAAGCTTGCATCTTCGAAAGTTGAAATCCTAATTGAGACCTCACAATATTTTGTGCTTGTGTTATTTTGCAAGCTGGGTCATCTCGAACGGACTGAACCAATAAGGAAGCAATGTAGTTCATGTCCAAATTCTTGTGTTCATTCGACATTTCATCCATTATGCAATTGTGGGGCCCACCATATCTCGTAATAAGGAAGAATCCTTTGCCCGTTTTTTCAATTCCCGCAACGACCATCTACAAGGCCTTTCAGGTGTGCTATGTTTGCACTTGACACTCCATAGCTTCGGCTTACTTTCGACAACTGTGAATTCTCGTTTAGCAAATCGAATCGAATGGTCTATCACCGCGGCGCAAAGGCGTTTTTTGTCCTCAAATACCATCCCGACCTCAAAAATACCTCGATCGCTATCGTAAAACTTATCATAACAGCCCCTTCCAACATCAAATGAATCTGCCGCCACTTCTGGAAACGACATCGAGAAAATGGGATTGACTCATACAACGTCGGTTGTTCCTCTGCTTCCGCCTCGTTGTGCTGCAACCACGTCACTGGAACATCATCTTATACGTCTTCATCTTCATTGTCGTCGTCTGCGTCATCGGATGGTTCGGAATTCACAAGACTGTTCGGCCCAAATGAGTCACCTATAGGTTCATCATCTTCGAAAATGCTCCGTCTCAGGTAACTCGACTCATCAACAAATCCCCCTAAATTACCATAGTTAATTGTATAGGGATCTCTGTGCACCTCTCTCGCTCCACTAGTCTTACAATAGTTAGGGATGCCTTGTGTCGCCACCAGAAAATCCGGAGTCACCTGTGGTTGTGAGAAATATGGTTCATTCAAATCAAATGCCTCTACGCTCACTTGTGGTGGGGCACTATCAACGTATTTCGGTTCAATCTCAACAAATACTTCGATAGCCTCATTCCCTTCATCCGGATCGATATACATTTGTAAATCTTCATCTGTTGTTATCTCGGTAATCATCTCCTTCATTCTTTCTCCATTATAAATGTAAGATTTGCAACACAATCTTAGCACAAACTGATTAACATCGACATCTAGACGTTGATACAACTTTGACAGAAAATGTGCAAAGGACAAGTCAAGTTTAATTCGGAATGTTGTTTTGTGGGCAATACTATATTGCACTACCCAATCATCAGGAATTATGTGACCTCCAAAGTACACGTATACTTTGACATTATTTTTAGCCGCCATCAATCTTCAAAAGATTAAGGAGATAATTAACTCATCAATCCAGATTAATTAATAATGAGGCAGATTAGTTAAAAAATAATAATTTAATTAAGCATACCAAAAAAATAATTAGTTAATTTAATTTAATTGCCCCATGTTTTATAAAATAAATAAACTACTAACTAACTAACTAACTACCCACATGCATCCTAAAAACACTAATCAAATGTATTTACAATAATTAATTATAAAATTTGGACATAATAAAAAATTATAATAATAACTTTTTTTTTAACAAAATTATTTACAATAATAATAAAATATTACCTTGTTGGGTGAAGAGCACCACCGGCAACGACCACAGAGCACCGGCGGCGGGGGAGACGACGGCGGGGGAGGCGACGGCGAGGGAGGCGACGGCGAGGGAGGCAGCGGCGGATAGACGGCGGCGTCGGCGGCAGCCGGAGGTAATTATATATTTTATTTTTAATTTGAAAACTAAATTTTGTTTTTTGATTTTGAAGTTTAACAAAGAGAAGAAGGAGAAGGAGTAGCAGCTCGGAAAGAAGAAATGTGGGGGAGGAGAGAGAATGGAGACGCCGTTGTCGGTGGCGTCTTCACAAGACGCCGTTGTCAGCGGCGTCTCCTGGTCAAGGCACAGTCCCCGAGGTGGGCAGTCTTGATCTTGACCGTCCGATCAAATTTTCACAGTGCAATCTGGACCGTCTATGTATTAAAATAATAAAATATTAAAATATTAAAAAATTAGAAAATATTAAAATATTAAAATATTAAAATATTAATAATTTAAAAAATAGCCTTGCCGCCGTTGGAGCTGGCGTCTTCACTTGGTGCCGCCGCCGGCGGAGGCGCCTCCTGCCGGTGCCGCCGTTGTGAGTGGCGGTCAACCCCAATTTCGTAACACTACCCAAAACGGCACCATTTTAAAAACTACATCCTAAAACTACACCAAAAAAAAAATTGCCCCATGAAATGGCAAAATCACTTTTGTCGCAAATTAAATCATAGTACAATCGCACAAGTTCCTAACTCTAAATTCACAATCTTTTTTCCAAAAAATATATCATTTAACATATAATTATTTCATTGAAATTGAAATTAATATTATTTAAATAAAAATTATTTTTTTATTATATCATCAAATATATGAAATATAAAAATAAAATATAAAATTACGTATTAAAAATATATTGGATTGAGTAACGATGTCAAAAGTGATGTTTTAAAGTGACGTGTTAAAATATAAACAGCAACTGCTGGAGTGAGTCAGAAAAAGTGGTATGCTAAAACACTGTTCACTGTGTATAATTGACGCAGAACGGAAGCACGGTAAAGAATTAATTTCTACGAATTAATCCTATAGAACAAAATAACATTCGGAATCCACCGAAAAACTCTGGAATCCACCAGAAAAATAGAGAAAACTCTAAGGATTTTATTAAATTTCGAAATTCTTCCAAAATAAAGTCCTAAGGCAGCTATTTATACTAAAAAACTGAAAACCCGAATTAAAATAAGAAAATACTAAAAATTACCAAAAACGGCAAAAACGAGTTAGAGTCTGATTCTAGTAGATCTCGTAATTTTGGGAACAACCTCATTTACGGAATCCTAATCCGTTTTTTCTATGATTTGATATTAATTTTCTAAAACTTACCTAAAATAGCAAAAACGAACTTTTAGGAGTCTAAACGACGTTAGATTGCTGAAATTGGACGTGATTCATGAGCTTTGCTCATGAGTTTTGTTCCTTGCGCCATTTCACTTGAGATAGAGTTCGTTTCGTACTCAAATACAATTTGAGTTCGTCGAAAACCCTTATTTTTCCATAATTTCTTTCGATATTTCCACCAATGCCCATTAATAACTCTTCTCCGAATTAAATAGTTATTTTGCAACACGAATCCAATTTGACGTTCCTTATCAATCTCATCTTCTTCAAAAGAGCTCGACCTCGAGCTATGATCAAAATATAGCGATGCATATTTGTTGGCCGAAAACCTACACGCAAGTGCACGTATCGTACAAGTAATATAGTGGACTAAAAGTCCGGATATCGAACCCACAGGGAATATTTAATTATCTAATCCTAGGCACTAAATTCTACCAATTAATATCAAGCCCACCCTACACAGTCGACTTTAGAGAGAATTAACTAAAATAAATTAAAAGGCAAATTAAAACGACAAAGCAAGAAAGCAATTTAAAAACGAAGATTAATCAAAGTAGACAAGCCTAGGATTTTATTCTTCCCCCTATGTGATTATTACTCCCCCAATTCCTCTAATTATGCAAGCAATTAACCCGGATTATTAACCTGAGATGCTAAAATAATCATAACCCGCTTCCGCGTGTATTACGATACTAATACTCTAGATTCAATTACTATATTCCTATGCAATTAATTCTAGAACACAGCATTAAGCACAAATCTCAATAATGGCTACCTAAGAGATTAACTATATTCCTATGTTAATACCACAAATGTTCTTCTACCACAGTTCTAATTATTAACCCGATCTTCCGGTTCATGCGATTAACAATAACATAAAAGCACATAAGTTGATCAAGTTCATGCACTTAATAAAACAAGTAGAAGAAATAATCCGGAATCAAAACTTGCATAAAATCATAGAATTGGGTTCATAAATCCCACATAGGGTTCCAAATAAAATCCTAGAAATAAAGACTTAGCTACTCGTAATTCTTATGATAAATAAAATAAAATAAATAAATTAAATAAGAAAAACTATGCTTGAATCTTCGTTGATCTTCTTTGCTCTTGAATTTGCGTCCCAAGATGGATCCCCAATTGTGTGATTGGCTTGGTCTTATATAGGGTGAAGAACTTGGGGAAGGAGGCAGTTTCCTTGTGCAATTAAAATCCCTTTACTGCGCAACTTCGGAGTCTCGGACGGGGGTCCCACAATTTGCACTAAAATTGGGACGGGGGTCCGAGCCTTAAATCTTCAGAATTTTGATATTTTCACTTTTGACCCATATTTTCGCCAAAATTGCAGTTTTGACCCCATACTTTTCCAATTCTTCAATTTGTACCTAAAATACAATAAATCAACTTTTTAAGCACCAATTATCGTTAAAACACACCAAAAGCTCAAATAAAAAGATACGATAAAGTGTAAAAATATACACTTAACACACCCCCAAACTTGAACTTTTGCTTGTCCTCAAGCAAAATCTACCAATAAGCAAATAACTCAACGATAACATCTCATCACATAGATCAATGATCAACTTCACGTTTTCAGAACTTGTAATTATAATGACAATTCTTAGGCATTCGCAAGCTCAAAATTCAACAACACTTAGTCACTCACCATTACCAAAAACCACAATTCATACAATTGCTTCAAGCATCCAATATTTGCAAATTAAAGATAGAAAGAATTTATACTTACATGCATATGCTTGACTCCAAATACTCACCAAATTATTCTACTCTACTAATATCGAACATTAAGCTATTGGGATCATTGGGGCTTTGTGGCTTTCAATTGTTAGGCTCTTTGGTTCGAGGTAGGAAATATGGGTATGTGTGGCTATTCTTCTTGAATTTAGGTGATTACGCCAAAATTTGAAAGATAGGCGTTTGAAACAATGAATTCACCTCTACGGACTCTAATAAACTCGATTCTCAAAAGTTCAAAAGTCTCCACTTTTGCTTTTGAGGCAATGGATCGAGTTTTCAAAAATAATTCAACAACTAGTCCTTATTTCTCCCTTCTAGTCTCTTCTTCTTCTCTTTTTCTCTCTTTTTTTATTTTTTTTTATTTTTTTATTATTATATATATAGAAGCATAGATATTTGTCTTCTTTTTTTTCTTTTCGAAGAAGAAGAAGGACCTTATAAAAATTTTCGACCGAACTCCAAGGGATAATTTTTTCAAGAATCTCCACCTATTCCACCTTA